TTGTTCAACCTCTGATGATTGACCTATAATTTTCTTTTCTTGTAGTGTCCTTGTCTGGCTTTTGTATCTGGGTAATGCTGGTCTTGTAAAATGAGTTCGGAAGTTTTCCTTCCCCTTCAGTTTTTTAGAAGAGTTTGAAAAGGATTGGCATTAATTTTTCTTTAAATGTTTGGTAGGATTCTCCTGTGAAGTCATCTGGGCTTTTATTTGTTGGAGATTTTTGATTACCCATTTAATCTCCTTACTCATTATTGGTCTGTTCATACTTTCTATTAATTCATGATTCATTCTTGGTAAGTTGTGTGTTTCTAGGAAATTATCCATTTCTTCTAAATTAATTCATTAGCATATAGTTGTTCATGGTAGTCTCTTATGATCCTTTGAATTTCTGTGGTATCAGTTATAATGTCTCTTCTTTCATTTATAATTTTATTAATTTGAGTAGTCTCTTTTTTTTTTCTTAGTCTAGCTAAAGGCTTGTCAATTTTGTTTATCTTTTCAGAAAACCAACTCTTACTTTTGTTGATCTTTTTCTATTGTCTTTCTCATCTCTATTTCCTTTATTTATATTCTAATTTTTATTTCACTCCTTATGCTAACTTTGGGCTTAGTTTATTTTTCCTTTTCTAGTTCCTTCAGGAGTAAAGGTTAGGTTGTTTATTTGAGATCTTTTTTCTTAATGTAGGCATTCATTGCTATAAACTTCCCTCTTAGAACCACTTTTGCTGCATCGCATACGTTTTTGTATGCTGTGTTTCTATTATTGTTTGTCTCTAGATATTTTTTTATTCCTTCTTTGACCTGTTGGTTGTTCAGAAGTGTGTTGTTTAATTTCCGCATATTTGTGAAGTTTCCAGCTTTCCTCGTTACTGATTTCTAGTCTCATACCATTGTGGTTGGAAAAGATACTCAATATGATTTCAGTCTGCTTAAATTTATTAAGACTTGTTTTGTGACCTAACATGATTTACTCTGGAGAATGTTTCATGTGTGCTAGAGATGAATGTTGGATGGAATGTTCTTTACACGTCTATCAGGTCTATTTGATTGAAAGTGTCTTTCAAGTCCATTTTTAAAACTGATTCTCTCTGTATGATCTACCCATTGTTTAAGGTGAGGTATTGAACTCACCCACGATTATTGCATTGCTATCTGTTTTTTGCCTTCAGCTTTATTAATAATTGTTTAATATATTTAGGTGCTTCAATACTGGGTGCATATATGTTTACAATTGTTATATCCTCTTGATTAATTAACCCCTTTATCATTATAACAATATAATGACCTTCTTTGTCTTTTGTTACAATGTTTGACTTAAAGTCTATATTGTGTGATATAAGTATAGCTGTCTCAGCTCTCTTGGTTTCCATTTACATAAAATATCTTCACTTTCAGCCTGTGTGTTTAAAGCTTACATGACTCTCTTCTAAGCAGTATATATAGTTGGGTTTTGTTTTTTTATCCATTCAGTTACTTTTTTTTTTTTGCGGTACACGGGCCCCTCACTGCTGTGGCCTCTCCCGTCGCAGAACACAGACTCCGGATGCGCAGGCTCAGTGGCCATGGCTCACGGGCCCAGCCACTCCGTGGCATGTGGGATCCTCCCGGACCGGGTCACGAACCTGCGTCCCCTCCATCGGCAGGTGGACTCTCAACCACTGTGCCACCAGGGAAGCCCCATTCAGTTACTTTTTGCCTTTTAAATAGAAAATTTAAACCATTTACATTTAGAGTAGTTATTGATAGGCAAAGACTTACTATTGCTATTTCATTAATTTCTTTCTAATTGTTTTGTAGTTTCTTCGTTCCTCTCTTCCTTTTTTGCTGTCTTTGTTTGTGAGTTGATTTTTTTTATAGTGGTATGCTTTGATTCTATTTTTTCTTTATCATTTATGTATCTATACAGTAGATAGTTTGTGCTTTGTGGTTACCATGAGGCTTTCATAATACATCTTGTTGTTATAACTGTTAAGCTTATAACTTAACTTCAGTTGCATAAAAGTGTTCTACACATTTACTTGCTCCCACCCTCAACTTATATTGTTGTTGTCCCAATTTACAACTTTTTATAATGTGTCCATTAACAAAATATTGTAGCTATAATTATTTTTAAGACTTTTGTCTCTTAGCCTATATGCTAGAGTTCAAAGTGACTTACACACCACCATTACAGTATTAGGGTATTTTGAATTCTACTATACCTTTACCAGTAAAGTTGATACTTCCATGTTTTCATGTTACTAATTAGTGTCTTTTTGTTTCAGCTTGAAGAACTCCCGTTAGCATTTCTTGTAAGGCAGGTCTAGTGCTGATAAATTCCCTCAGCTTTTGTTTTTCTGGGAAAGTCTTTATTTCTCCTTCACTAATGAAGTACAATTATGCTAGATAAAGTATTCTTGGTGAATAGTTTCTTTCCTTGAGCATTTTGAATGTGTCATCCCCTCTTCTGGCCTGCAAGGTTTCTGCTGAGAAATTTGCTGATAGCCTTATTGGGATTCCCTTGTATGTGATGAGTCTCTTTCTCTTTCTGTTTTAAAATTTCTCTCTTTGTCTTTGATTTTTGAGAGGTTAATTATAATGTATCTTGGTGAATATCTCTTTGGGTTATATCTATTTGGGGACCTTTGGGTTTTATGTACCTGGATGGCCATATCTCTCCCCAGATTTAGGAATTTTTCAGCTATGATTTCTTTAAATATGTTTCTGTCCTTTTCTTTCTCTCTTCTTTTGTTTTGTTTTGTTTTGTTTGATAGTATCCGGTAATTCACATAAGTTTTCTTCAGTCTTTTTCAATCTAATTTGTTTCTCCTCTGTCTGTATAATATCAAGAAATCTATCTTGGAGTTCACAGATTCTTTTTTTTTTTAGTTTTTTAAATTTTATTTTTGGCTGCGTTGGGTCTTTGTTGCTGCGCGCGGGCTTTCTCTGGTTGCGGAGAGTGGGGGCTACTCTTCGTTGCGGTGCGCGGGCTTCTCACTGTGGTCCTTCCCTTGTTTTGGAGCACGGGCTCTAGGCTCGCGGGCTTCAGTAGTTGCAGCATGCAGGCTCAGTAGTTGTGGCTCTTGGGCTCTAGAGTGCAGGCTCAGTAGTTGTGGTGCATGGGCTTAGTTGCTCTGCGCCATGTCGGGTCTTCCTGGACCAGGGATCGAACCCATGTCCCCTCCATTGGCAGGTGGATTCTTAACCACTGCGCCACCAGGGAAGTCTGAGTTCACAGATTCTTTATTCTGCCAGAGAGCTTCAACAGCTCTGTATTGCATTTTTTCATTCCATTCATTGTGGCCTTCAGCTCCAGAGTTTGTTCGGTTCTTTTTAAAAATGATTTCTGTCTGTTGAACTTATTTTGTTCATTTATTGTTTTCCTGAATTCGTTAAGTTGTGTTCTCCTAAATCTTGCTGAACTTCCTAAAATAATATTTATTTATTTATTTATTTTTTGCGGTACGCGGGCCTCTCACTGTTGTGGCCTCTCCCGTTGCGGATCACAGGCTCCGGACGCGCAGGCTCAGCGGCCATGGCTCACGGGCCCGGCCGCTCCGCGGCATGTGGGATCCTCCTGGACTGGGGCACGAACCCGTGTCCCCTGCATTGGCAGGCGGACTCTCAACCACTGCGCCACCAGGGAAGCCCTAAAATAATTACTTTGAATTCTTTTTTTGGTAATTCGCAGATCTCCATTTCTTTGGGATTGGTTACTGGAAAATCATTATGTTCCTTTGGTGGTGTCACGTTTCCTTGCTTTTCCATATTTCTGATGGCTTTGCATCGATGTCTGTGCATTTGAGGATGCATTCACTTTTTGGACTGGCTTCAGTGGGAAAAGACTCACCTAAATGTGGTTGCAAGGGTGCTAGCCTGGCGGGATACGGTGTCTTTCATTCTTGGAAGGCACAGCAGCACAGCCTCCACGCGGCTCTGTCAGCTGAGGTCATCGTAGGTGCAGACTGCTGGAATATTCTGTGGCCAGGACTGCCAAGGTCCTGTGGGTAGGAGTGGCAACAAGGTTTTTGGGAACTTGGGAGGTGAAGGTTGCTGGGGTCTTCTGCTGTTCCCATGGGAGGAAGTTCTAGCCAGTGGGATCCCTCTTGGCCGTGATCTGTTGTGCTGGCAAACAGTAGAAGTGGAGCTGGAGTCCTGGGACCACTTGCTGAGGCAGCATCACTTGTGTCTAAGGTGTGAGCATGTACAGATGGCCTGTGGAACCAAGGTCTGGGTCTCTGGGTCTCACCACAGTGACTCTGGCTGGCGGGGCGTGGTGATGCACAGTGACTGTGGCTGGTGGGGCGTGGCACAGACCCTGGGGTGACAAGGTGCAGCAATGGCTTGGTCCTCGGCCCCAGGGGGCAGGGGGCAGTAGCAGCACAGCCTGAAGAGGGTGGGTTGAAGTCCCACCTTTGACCCCAGGGGGCAGTTGTAGGACGGTAGTAGCACCTACCTGGTGGTGGCTTGTTAAAACCTTGTGTTAGGATCCAGGGAGCAGGGCTCAGGGCGGTGGCAGTGCCTCTGGCAATGACAGTTCAGAGCTTTGACCTGGGACCGAGGGGCAGGGCTGGGAGCACTGATAGTGTGTTTTGGCAATGATGGTTCCGAGTGGTGGCCTGAGTCGTGGGGTTGGGGCTCAGGGCAGCCCCATCAGTGACGATTCAGAGCCAAGACCTGGGAGCTGGGTGTGAGGCTCAGGGCAGTGACAGTGTGGTACTGGTAATGGTCAGAGTGTGACCTGAGACTGAGGGCAGGGCTCCGGGCAGCCGTGGCTCCCATCATGTATATGATGATGCACTGTGAGGCCCTGATCCCAGAGAGTGGGGCACGGCAGTGCCTGGGGCCTCTGAGGACGGTGACAGCTCCAGCCCTAGGGAGGGGACATGGTTGTGGGCACTCGGGGCAGCTCCATCAGCTGGGATCAGCGTTGGTGTAGACTGGGGGAGACCTCAGTAGCAAAGGCTGCAGACATGCACAGTGGTGAGGCTTGCTGGAGCTTCTGCTTTGCTTTTCTCCAGGAGGTGGAATTCCTCTGGGGGTGATCTCCCTGGCACTCAGACGCTCTTGGCTTGAGGCTGGGGTAACACAGGTAAGATGCTTCCTGCACTTCTTTACATGGCCATCCTCGGTTTTTGAGCTCTGCAGGATTTTTGATGCTTCTTCATTGTATTCCAGAGCTTTCCCTGAGCTGTTTTTGTTGGTTTACAGTTGTTTACTGTTTTTGTGAGTAGATGAACATTGGGACCTCCTAGCCCTCCACCTAGCTGATGTCACCTCCCTCTCACATGCAGAGCTTTAAAAACTGCAGAGGCCGGAGTCCCATCCCGAGGGTCTGATTTAATTGGTCTGGGGTGTGCCAACATCCTGGGGGTCCTAAAGCTCCCAGGTGACTTTGCTCTTCACCAGAGTTTCCTTTCTGAGTCTCTGGGCTATAGGAACAAGCTCCTTTAACTTCTCCCAGCTGGAACATTCTGGATTTTCAAGCCTACAGTTACAATAGTTTTGGGAGGCAGGAGAGAGAATGCCAGTTGCTGTTCCACTGAACAAGTTTATGCTGCCTAAATAATTTCTAAAATAGTACCAATCCCTGCTGAGTACAGATTAATCCAAAGCACAAGTGCTTAACCTTCAGTTCAGCCAGGACAGTGAAATATGAGTGGCCAGACCACAGCAGGTGCTCAGTACGTTTTAGTTCTTTTCACAAGTCTCCTTTAAAAACTCGCTATACCTGTGAGTGTCCCAAGTGTTACGGTTGATGCCTGAAAAATACGAAATGGATCTCTGAATCTGTGGGACTCTTGCAGTGAGCTTGAGACACTTCCACCTTTGAACACTGGATGGCGCAAGAAGACCGCTGGGCTGAGGATGCTGACTGAGGTCCTGGAGGCTGCCGTCAAAATCAGGCAACAGGGAGTGCCATTTTTTTTTTTTTTTCAGATGTTAGGATCCAGACAAGGCAAACAAGAACTCTATGTGTTGCTACTGGGATAAAATGCAGGCTTCATATTCTCTTGTGGGCCGTTGGATCTCCTGGAGTGAGAAACGCAGACCGATAGACAATAGTTCAAGGTGATGGCTGACAGAGAAGGGAGCTGGCCAGAATTTTTCACACCAGGTAGCAGGTTTTAATTAATTTTTCACACCGGCTAGCAGGTTTTAATTTCTATTCTATTTAATTTCTATCACTGGGAGCAGGGAGACAGGTCCTGACTTACAGGCAAAAAGAGCAAGGGTGGCTTTGGAGTTTAAACTGACCACCCACACAAAGAAAGGAGGGCAACTCTTGTGACCCCTCTTCTGCCAGATGCTTCTAGAATTAGAAAGTGGTCCATTTGGTGGAGAGCTGGAAAGGAGCCACTTCTTCCCAACCAACGGGAGGGCTGCCTGTCTGTTGTTAGAGGCGTGCGTTTGATCTGAGGACAGAGCTTCAAAGTAGAGTGAAAACGATACCAGGGTGTCCTTGGACTGCTCTGTCTACAGGTGACTGACAGGCTCCAGATCCCACGTGGCTGGGGCAGTGACGTGACCCAGCACACATCACCTAGTGACTGCACAGTGGTGGTGGGGGGGTGCTCCTTTGAAACGATCTCTTTGGTCCGCTGGACTTTCCCAGTGCCTCTGTGATCTGTCCTTCCATCAAGATGAATTCAACTTGCAGATCAGGGGAGCTCTGATCACGGTTTCTCCCTTCTCACTCTCTTCTCCTTCCACCCCTCTTGCTATTTATACACATCCCAGCCTTGTCTCAAGTGGGTGTTTGTTTTCTCTTGGGCATTTCATCTAGAGCGTGCTAGCAAGACCTGGATGAGGCCCTTACTATGGTATTGAAGTTTTTCCCCTTATTTGGAGGAGTAAACTACAGATGACAGTTTCTCTGATTGGAGTTGCCTTACTGGTGGTGGCTGGCTGTTTGGGAAACAGATCCTGCTTCAGAGTATTCATGTTGGGATAATGAGTTCTTTGTGATTGTTGTGGTTCAATATTCAGGCCAGGGGACCACACCGTAGCCCAGGTTGGGAGCCGTGGCGCACATGGACACAGCCATCAGCAGAAATTGTATGAAAAAGGAAATATTCTGTCTCTGTATTTACAAGGCAGTGTTTCTGATACCAGTGGGAGCAAAATATTGGCAGTGAGCAACTGTTAGAATTCATCATCTTTCTTTTACAGTTTGCTAGTGGCAGGAGTCTATGGGGGAGGCCACTGCCACTGAAAATGTCCCTCAGGAAGCTAACGAAGCACTGGCAGCATCTCTTATTGGGGTGGCTTGCCCTAGAACCCTGCTCCTTAAAAGCTGGTCTGGAGACCAGCAGAATCAACAGTACCAGGAGCTTGTGAGAAAAGCAGAGTCTCAGGCCCTGCCCTGAACCTACCGGGAGCTAGAGAAGCAGTGCCGCAGAAGTGTGACTGGCTCTGGGGTCCAAGCCATTGTGGTAGAGAATTCCCAGTCTCCTGGACCAGTCGGTCGGACCATCAGCAAGCCATCTGGCGCAGTTGGGGGACGCCCATTCTTGACATGAGGGCGCTGTTCGTGGGGCCCTGGGGCTCTGCTGGGAGGATCCACGTGGCCAGATCCTTGGCGATTATCATAGTTTTGCCCCTTTGACTTTGGGGGACGGCTGTTCCCAAATTCCTCGGAAGTGCCAGGGGAGGTGGCCCGACGGAAGCCACCCAGCTCCTTACCCCCACCCCTTGCTGCGGCTGCTGGGCAGTCAGCTGTGGAACCCCAGTCTTCCTAACGTCCATTTCTGAGGTTCACATTCACGGGGAAAAAAATAGATCCCCGTGCAGCGGTGTGGTTTTGAATTCCCTGAGCCACTGCAAATGCATGGGGGCTGGTGGGCCTCGAGTGGAAGAGTCCAGGGGCTTTCAGACCCGGCCATGGTGTTAACTTAGGAGTATAAAGGAGCCTTCATACACCTACAGCTTCTTTCTGGCCATTTCCATGAGCTGCTTTCTGACTCCCTACAGCACTAAGGTTGAGTGTAGGGATGAGTTTCCTTGGAGCCTTGAAGAACGAGGCAGTGGTGGTGGTGGGGATGGATTTGGTCTTCGCTTATCTGAGGCCACCCATGGGTTCTGGGACAGAAAGACCGCAGAAGCGGAGGAGATTTCGGGAGAGGTGGGCCGTGGGAAGGATCAGACAGCTTCACTCTGAGCGCTGGCTGTTCCTTTTCTTTCTTGTGGCCTGGGTTCCCTGCAGGTTCTGACATGCTCCAAGCTCAGATCCCAGCCAGCCGGGGGTGCTGGCAACCCAGGGCATTCTGGCCAGGTTGATTTCACGGCGTTGTTCTCACCCATTAGCTCACATTATGCAGAATGGGGTGGGGGCAGTGCCTGGTGTCCTTTCCTTTGTTTATAGACATATTTTTCTTTGTGAGGGGAAAAAAAGAGCTGACTCCCTTTTAAGGGACACGAAAACTGAGTTTTGTCTTCTCTTCCTATTACTGTCAAACAAAAGTCACCTTAGAACTCTCGATCACATGGGGCCTGTCACTGGCAGGAAGCGAGACCTTCCCCTGTGAATGTATAACTTACAGTAAGTTCTCAGCAGACCAAAAAAAATGCCTTTTATCATGCTCTGGTTTTTTTCCTCCCACTGTTTTATTTCACTTACAACATCACTCAGGCCCAAATGGTATTTGTCAGGAGTAATTGGCAAATGCTGGAGGCTGTGTTCAAGGCTGCCTGAGTGGAAAATCTCAAAGCCGTTGTCCATGTTGAAAGAAAATATTACATTTGATCTTTTTTTACGATTTCTGCAGACATGATGCGTGTCTGCATTCTTTAGCCTTATAACCCTTTATATTTGAGGGACAAAAAAAATCCCGGCAGGAAGTAGCCCTTCACAGCTAATTTACAGTATACCAAGAAGTAACCACAACACATGAGAAGTCATTTTAAAAACATGACCATGATTTATTTTTATTAGCCATCTAATAAACCTGCACCGGTTTGCGGGTTCTTATACATTGAATTATGACTTCAAGCTTCGCGTTTCATGTCTCCTTCTACTAGGATGTTTATTCTTCTGGATAAAAATATTCCTAAGGTTGGTGGCAGCCATCCTTGGGATGCTGGGATGCCCTCTCACGCGGGCTCCATTGGAGGCTACGTGCTTCTCTGGTGCAGGACATCATGTAACCAGCAAATGAGAATCGTCTGATCAAACTGAGTCCCAGAGAGCAGAAATGATGCATCTGAGGGCCAGGAAGTGAATGGTGACAGGTCTCCCAACCCATAAGTCTTCATACTGTATCAGACAGTCCCTCTTAGGTACACAGCAGAGTGTAAATGACATAGTTTGGAGGCTTTTTAAGGTCACACAATCCAACATAAATTTGCCTTTCTCCATGTTCCACATGTGTATAAGTATGTACCTGTGAGGAAATGGCACAGACCAATGACGAGGACCACAGAGCTTCCCACCTCGAATCTGTGACACGGGGATAATTCTGGAGTCATAACACACACATGTTATAGAACACATGTTACGGTTGGGAGAGTGTTAGATTGAAGAACACATTTTACAGAAAACTCTGGATCAGGGGTCAGCCAGCCCCTATTTTTGTAAATAAAATTTTTTTTCTAAATGCAGACTTCTAAAAACTTGTGGTAAAATAGGTGTAACATAATAAAATTTGCCATTTAACCATTTTCAAGTGTATAATTCAATGACATTGAGTGCAGTGTTGTGCGACCATCACCATTATCTATTTCCAAACATTTTCTATCACCCCAGCAGAAATTCTGTACCCACTAAACCATAAGTCCCCATTCCCTCCCGCCCCCCCGGCCCCACACCTGGCAACCTTTCATCTACTTTATGTCTCTGTAATTTTCTCTTCTAGACATTTCATAGAAGTGGAATCATATAACATTTGTCTTTTTGCGTCTTGGTTTATTTCAGTCGGCATAATGTTTTTGAGGTTCATCTGTTCTAGCATATGTCAGTACTTCATTGCTCCCCCTGCTTAACGGAGGTATAATTGACAATTAAACATTGTATGTGTTTAAGGTGTACAACTTGATGAGTTGATATACATTATGAAAGAATCACCACAATCAAGCTCTTTAATGTATCCATCGCCTCACGTAGTTACCACCTTTTTTAAAATTAAAATTATTATGTTTTTTTTAGTGGTGAGGACACTTAAGGTCTACCCTCTTAGCAAATTTTTTTTTTTCTTTTTTTTTTTTTTTTCAGTATGTGGGCCTCTCACTGTTGTGGCCTCTCCCGTTACGGAGCACAGGCTCCGGACGCACAGGCTCAGCGGCCACGGCTCACGGGCCCAGCCGCTCCGCGGCACGTGGGATCCTGCCGGACCGGGGCACGAACCCGCGTCCTCTGCATGAGCAGGCGGACTCTCAACCGCTGCGCCACCAGGGAAGCCCCATCCTCTTAGCAAATTTGAAAAACACATACAGTATTGTTAGCTGTGGTTACAGTGTTATACATTAGATCTTCAGAACTTAATTCACCTTGCATCATTGCTTTTTCTTTTATTGTGGTAAAAACATAAAATTTACCATCTTAACCATTTTAAAATGTACGGTCAGTAGTGTTTCCTATATTTAGTGTCGTGCAACAGATTTCTAGAACGTTTTCATCTTGCAGACCTGAAACTGTATCCATTGAATAACACCTCCCCTTTACCCTCTCCCCTCTGCCTCTGGAACCACCATGCTACTTTTGTTTCTAAGAGTTCGACTCCTTTAGATACCTCATGTAAGTAGAATCAAGCAGTATTTGTCCTTCTGTGTCTGGCTTATTTCACTCAGCATCGTGTCCTTAAGGCTCCTCCATGTTGTAGTATGTGACAGGATTTCCTTCTTTCTTATGGCTGGATAGTATTCTGTCCGTATATACCATATTTTATTTATCTGTTAATCAGTTGATGGACACTTGGGCTGTTTCTACCTCTTGGCTCTTGTGAGTAACACTGCTCTGAACTTGGATATGAAAGTATCTGTTTGAACATCTCCTTTCACTTTCTTTGGGTATATACCCAGGGGTATGTTAACGAAGTTTTATTGTAACACAGCTGGATCTCTTTGTTTACCGATTGTCTATGGCAGAGTTTACAACAGCGGAGCTGAGTAGTGGTGACAGAGACCCGATGGCTCACAAATGGCTCACAAAGCTGAAAATATTTACTCTCTGGCCCTTTACAGAAAAAGTCTGCTGACTCCTGCCCTAGATCTAATCAAATATGTGCTTCCTTTGGTGGTTCTGTTGGAGAGTTCCGTCTCCTGGGAACTGGTTTTGAACAAGGCTTAGTTCTTTACCTGGTATCTTGCACTCACTTTACCAGGTATTTGGTACCTGGTATTCGGTATCACACCGGGCTTGCTCCAACCGCAGACAAGCTCTTTTGGCCCTAATACATCCGCTCTCCTCCCAGGGCCTGGACTGACAATAATGTTCTTTCCCTCCCTTAAAACCTAGAGCAAGTATGATCTGTGCTGTGGCAACACTTTTTTTATTTCTTGCCCCAACACATATGTTTTAGTTTCCCGTGGCTCCTGTAACAAATTACCACAAACTTGGTGGCTTAAAAACAATAGAATTTTATTCTCTCAATAAAGAATATTGGAGGCTGGCAGTCGGAAGTCCTGGAGGAAGGAAGGAGTCCTGGAGGCTGGAAGTCTGAAGTCCTGGAGGAAGGAAGGAGCCCTGGAGGCTGGAAGTCTGAAACCAAGGTGTCAGCAGAGTTGGTTTCTTCTGGAGGCTCTAGGGCAGAATCTGTTCCAGGTCTCTCTCCTTGCTTCTGCGGTTGCTGGCAATCCTTGGGGTTCCCTGGCTTGTAGCAGCATCACCTTAGTCTCTGCCGCTAGGGCCAACATCACCTTCCTGTGTCTCTCTGTGTATCTACTTCTGTTTCTTTTCCATTAAAAGGACTTGGCATTGGATTGAGGGTACACCTGGTTAATCTAGGGTGATCTCATCTTGACATCCTTCACATAATTACATCTATAAAAACCCTATAAGGTCATATTCATGGGTACTGGTGCTTAGGACTTGGACCTTTCTTATGAGGGCGTGGTGAGGACACAGTAGAGGAGGGAAAAACGTTTCCTCTACTCTCTTAGGTTCAGTGGCTGAGGCTTGCAAATTAACTGGCAATAGACAGACCAAGAGGAGAAAGATTTACTTTGCATGCATGTAAGTGTTGCAGGAAGGGGGACCCCTTCCAGGGCCCGAGAATGGGCTCTTGTCTAACACTCAGAAGCGAATTGTCTGAGGAGACACACGTGCTGACGAAGCAAGAGACTTTATTGGGAAGGGGCGCCCAGGAGGAGAGCAGCAGGGTGAGGGAACCTAGGCGGATAGCTCTGCCACGTGGCTCGAAGTCTCAGGTTTTATGGTGATGGGATTAGTTTCTGGGTTGCCTCTGGCCAATCATTCTGGCTCAGGGTCCTTTCCGGTGGCACACACAACCGCTTAGCCAAGATGGATTCCAGTGAGAAGGATTCTGGGAGGTTGGTATATGCACTGGCGTCTCCTCTCTTCTTTTGACCTTTCCCGTATTCTTCCCGTTTGTGTTGGCTTGTTAGTTCCGTGTTCCTCGCTAGGATCTCCTGTCATGAAATAACTCATGCAAATTGTTGCTGTCTTTGCCTGGCCAGGGCCGGCGGTTTCAGTCAGTGTTTTCCCTAACATAAGGGCCACACAGAAAAGAAATGAAAACTCCAAAATGTAGTTAGGTTTCAGAGCTTATATGTCATTTTTTTTTTAAAAGGTGATATACTGTAGAGAAAAGACTAGACAAAGGAGAAGGGGTTTGTACTTCTGGGGGGAGGGTAAATTGTGAGAAGGTGAATGTTTGGGGAAACTAATGGAAGATAAGGGGTATTTAGTAAGGTTTGTTATGCAGACCAAGTTGGCAATCTCCAGTGATAGGAATCTCTGGGGATTAAGAGTTCTCTTCCTGGTGTGGGGACGGGGGAGGACACCTTAACAAATGGAAGTTTATGCCCTGATTTTAGGCAAAAAGGAGGAGGGCGGAGAGTTCCTCCTGCACCTGCTGTGTCTCAGTTGCCTTCAGCGCAAAAGAGTCCTTATGCCAAAGTGGCGTATTTTGGGGTGGCATATTCTGATCCCTTTCAACACCCTTCAACCCACCACACATATAATGGATGACATTCACATCCAGGCTGTATAGATATATATACATCTGATATAATGACACATCCCATGAGTGGACTCAGATTTCTGGAAAATACAAAGAAATCTTGCAGGGAAATAAGGCAAATGACACTGTGCTTTTTTGGGTGACTTTTATAAATACATTTATCCACATGGTAAATAAAGCAGCCATGTGATGATCTCAAAAACTGTTCACTTTGCAAAAAACTGTTAATGTGATTATTGAAAATTATTTAAAAAATGTATTTTATGGTACAGATTTTAAAAACATGGGTATTGATTTTGTTCTCCTTCTGTATTCCTCAGATAATTCAGCAGGCACGTGCTACGATAAATACGTTTAAATAAAGACCATTTTGTTAAAAGTCACGATAAATGGAATTCACAGATATTTGAATGCTATTAGTAGGGAGAGATCACGTGATGGCCTTGATCTGCAGGTGGCTTTCCCTGCTTATAAGGGACACAGTCATATTCAAGCTGTCTGATTTTTTTTCTTTTTTTTTTTTTGGTGATACGTGCCTGAGAGTAAATTTGAAATAATTTGAAAGTAAATTGGAAAAAAATAAAGAATACTGAATACAGCCAGCTTGCAGATTTCTCTAGCACGCTGACTGAGGAGGGGCGTGGTAGCGTTCTGTCCCCTGGTGTTGCAGAGACTGCTGACATATTCTTTGCTTGTCCTTGATGTCTTTCTTGCTGAAAATATATCCCTGAGTGAAATTCAAAAGAGAACAACAGAAACTGTAAAACCACACCTCATGAGCAGTATAAATTGTAGTTCCCACAACTGTCAACCGTATCATGGGCTTTTGGGTGTGAGTGGTGGGACAGTAGTTAACTATCTCTCCTTCATCTTAAGCCAACTTTTTTTTTTTTAATTGGGAAAGTGCATCATTATTTCTTGATTTAAAAAAGTGACGTTATTTCAGGAGTAACATTAAATCTACTCTAAATTATTGAAAGAATAATTTTACATCAGAGCTGTTAAATTTTTATTAATAACGAGTTATTTGTGCACACCTTGGGCTGCCTGGGATAATGTGAAGGTTGAACTTAATATGCAAGGTGGTTTCCCTGTTGAAAAATTAGGGGCTTCTCCAGCCAGAGCACCACAGTGATACACAGCAGCAGAAACGGGAGTCACAGCTACATTTTCTGGAGAGAGATCAAAGATCAGGACAAAGCAGGGGAGGCCTTTTATATGCAAGCCTGCAGAGCAGGCGCTAGGAGTTCTGGGGCTGTCTAGAGCTGCACGGGTTGGAACTGGAGTGGCCAGGGCAATGCAGTCCCCACTCTGCTGGACTGATCCTTTGAGGTGAGATTTTTGGAGTGGATCATGGAGAAACAGAGAACGTGTTACAATTAGGATAAGAAGACTTCAAGGAAACAAGCAGCCTCTCCAGCATCTATAATCAGGGGGAGGCGGGGTGAGCACACACCAAAGGGCATTGCAGATAAGGAGGGACCTGTGACCTGCTATCACACCGAGGAAGCCACTGCTGCACTTCACACCCCTGGGGCCCTGCCTTGGCTCCCAATCAAAAGCACACCTAATTTCAGAACACTCAGAACACATTTCAGATTTTCTCAAATCTTACCATGCAAAATCCTACTCCAAAAGGAGA